ATAAAGAGAGCAGCATCTGAAGGGAGCTCACATTCACTTCCTTCTCCCTGAGCTGTGGAGCCAGGGATAGCTATGGAATGGGAACACGGATGTGTGAAAAGCAGTAGTTCAGAAAGTTAAGTTTAGCAAATTGATAAGATGGATGGAGCAGGATTTAAATTGCATACAGTTACCTTGCTGGTGGGGCTAGCCCCCCCTCCCGCTTTATTCCTTATAAACCAGGTGGCTGTGCGTTCCCCTTTACTCTAGTGTTATCGGTCGAATGCACACCTTTGTGGGGTTCACAAGTTGTCCTGCAGTCATTTTTACGTTTTTGCATGTTACCTTAAAAGTAATTATACTCTTTACTTTCTTTCATCTCTGTCTGCCCAAATAGTTGTACCTTTGTGAATTGTGACCTGTCTGTAATATTGTGAGTGTTGGTGGCATGATAAAGTGTGTTATTCATCACTATCTAACTTGTGGCCAAGCTTCGAGGGCAGATGTGTCGGCATGGGTGCCTCGCTCTGCTGAAGTACTCTCGGAGAGTCTGCGGGTATAGCTGTAATACCCATTTGCCCGACTGGCTTGATAGAGTATTATTTCCTCAGCCTTTTAAAAAGGGCGATGTTTCTATACAGCAACCAGGACCAGTTTCCTTCTGTTTTTGTTGTTGATTGGTTGATTGGTTGGTATTGTGGTCTTCTTTTTTGCGTTTGTTTCTTTGTTTTTATACCCTTGCCCATCAATCATCCAACTCTTGCTTCCTATGCCTGAAATTTAAAGTCCTATTTTGGAACTAGCCTTGTTGGGTGGCTTTTGTTGACACCTGTCACGTACATTTGATGGACACATTAGTTGAGCATAGTTGAGGCTTTCATACAGGGCCTGCTTGACTTTGAAGGCTTGCTTCTCTCCTCAGTGTCCTCCAATTAATCGTTATCCTGGGAAAAGAGGGAACTGCTGCATCTGGACAAACTGGCAGGTGGTTCAGGCCTTGCCTCTCTTCAGCCTGGAGGCTACAGGGCTTTGACTAGCCAGACCTCACCAGATTGAAAAGCCCTCTTTTGAATGGCAGCCTGACACAGTTAGTGTTTGTCAGTGTGGGCACTGAGGCAGAATAGTGTGCAGAGGCAACTCAAGTGCAGTTGAAAATAAGCACAGTGTTGATGGGAAGGCTTGCTGGAGGGAGAGAACAAAGCTGCTTGTTTCCAGTCCTGCTGTCTGGATGGAGCTGCATCTTGTGGGAGTCTTTTAACACAGACGCCCTGAGCAGTGTGTCATCTACCCCCGGCAGTCCTGTCCCAGTCTCACAATCCGTGTCTCAGCTCACTTTCTGATTCAGGGAGGGTGTGTCAGCTCTATAATGGGAACCTGCAGGAGGCTTGGCCACGGGAAAATAAAAAGCAACTGTTCTGCTCATCTCCGAAAAGAACTAGTCCTCATGTTAAATGCCATGATGGAGAGGATCAAAGCTGCTCCAGATATGTCTGCTAGACTGAGAGGGTCGGTGCTCCCCACATTCTTTCAGCAGTTGTTACCTTACAGTTGTGGCCACATGTTCATCTCTCACTACTACAGTGTTTTCTGAGATCAATAACATAGCTGCAAACAACAGCAACAAAAGCTGAAATCACAACCGAAAAGTTACATTATATAGAAACCATCTCTTTCTGGCTGTGGGTTTTGTTTTAATTTGTAGAAGCACAAATGATGTAAGCAAACATTAGAACTACCCTCACTACCAATCTAGTAATATTGAGCAACTGAACCCTCAGGATTTAGGGCATGCCGTATGATATCTGGAATCATTATTACTAACACTGACTAATTAAATAAATGTTAACCTCTGAGTTTTAGGACTCACAAGAACTCTGTATTATGTAAGTACTTTTGTGCGAAAAGCAAAGTACCTCTTCTCCCCCTAGTCATATGAGGTAAAAGTTTTGATACTAATAAACTTGACGGTCTGAATGGACATGGTGGCACACACCTTTATGCAGAAATAGGAAAATCTCTGGGTTCAAAGTCAGTCTGGTGTACATAGTTTTAACTCTAGCCAGGGCTATCATGAGACCCAGTCTTAAACAAATCCAAAAATATCCTTGACTGTATGAATATTTGATTTGGCTATTTAAAGAGCTATGTCTAAAAAATAGTTTATGATTTCTTTCTAAAATTTCCCTGGAATTAAATAATCACTATATGATCTGATTTTGGAAATTTTTTCAGGGACAAGGACGGGGATGTACCACTGACCTATACCTCCAGATTTTCTTTTTCATCTAGATTTTGAGGTTATTTTATTGTATATGTGTGTACATGAGTGTATGTATGTGTAGCAGGTGTGTCCAGAGGCCAGAGGAGGGCATCAGATCTCTGGAACTGGAGGTGGTTGTGAGCCACCATGTAGGTACTGGGAAATAAAACTCAAGTCCTTGGCAAGAGCAACAATTGCTTTAACCACTTAGCCATCTCTCCAGCCTCTTTTCAGTTTGTTTTTATAAATATTATAGACCCTGGATTAATTATAGAACAGCTATAAATGTTTATAATTCTTTAAATATGTTTCTGAAAGGTTAATAATATCTTGATGTGTCATGTTAATAATCATTTAAATATTTTGAAAGTTTGAAATACTCTCAGACTTGAGTACAGTCCTGCTTTCCATGGAGGAATTCTTTATTGCAGATTTCATGCTCAGATTTGGAGTAAGGGTTCTACTTGTAGCTACATTGAACTCTGAAGTGTGATACTCACAAAGAACAGCAGGGATACTTCAAGTGAATGAATGGTTGTCAACCTGTGGGTCAAAAGGAGTCACATATCAGATATCCTGTATATCAGATATTTACATTAAGATTCATAATGAACAAAATTACGGCTATGAAGTAGTAATGAAATAATTTTATGGTTGGGTGTCACCACAGCACGACGAACTGTATTAAGGGTCGCAGCATTAGGAAGGACCCGAAGAAAATCATTTGTGTTTCTCCAAGGCCATTACCATGTAAAAATACATGTAAAGTTATTTAAATGTCCCCATTTGATTCTTCAAATCTTCTTTGAATTATATGCTGCAGTCGAAGTGAGCTTGTAGTTTTTAAGATGTGTCCAATTCCTGAAAAATATTCAGTCAGATTATTTCTGACTGGATTGAAAGCTTACATTTGTATTGTGGTATAAACTCGTTAGAAGTTCTGTTTTATTATATTTCCCTGTATTGTTTTCATCAGGCAATTTGTCACATGGGTTTACATGAAATTTCTTCATTTATTATATTTCAGATTATGTATTTCAAGCTGGAGCAAGACTTAAACATTTTTCCCGTAAATGTAGCTTCAGGTAAACAAGCAATTTTAGCCCCGAAATAGCTCCTGCTCTGTCAACATGCTTCTTAGTTTTTCTCTGTGAGATAAAAAGTCCAGTTTTCTGATATTTGTACCAAGATAAAGTCAGTAAACAAGATTAATATAGTGTGGAAAAGGTTGTCAGCAGCCCTGGCAAAGGAAATAAGTTGCCTGTACATAGAACATACAGTAAACTGAATAAAAGTGTCAGGTCCGCCATGAGATAATATGATCATGGACGTCTAACAAACCATGACACAGGCCCAGGCAGCTTTTCTCACAGCTCCACTGTAGAAAATGGATTACTGTGTTCCAGGGATACCTGCTGGAATAACATCTTGGAATAACTCCAAGATGAATGTAGGATGTGGCCCTGGAGCAGAGCCAAGTGTTACCTGTGTGCTACACTGGACATAACACTGTCACCCCCTACACACTGGCGCTGTTTGGGTTTCTAGGGATGTCAGAGGGGATGTTGGCATCCTTAGTACTCAAGGAATCCAAGAAGAGGACGCTTGTATCCTTGGTACTCAAGGGATACAAGAAGTGGATGCTAGCATCTTTGTTACTCAAAAGATACAAGAAGTGGATGCTGGCATCATTGTTACTCAAGGGATACAAGAAGTGGATGCTGGCATCTTTGTTACTCAAGGGATACAAGAAGTGGATGCTGGCATATTTGTTACTCAAGGGATACAAGAAGTGGATGCTGGCATCTTTGGTAATCAAGGGATACAAGAAGAAAGCTGCCCAGATGTTTTTCTTTTCTTTTTCTTATTTGTTTTTGTTTTGTTTTGTTTTTAGGCCATGTTTTTTTTTAATTTTTATTCTGTTGTGGTTTAAGTGGCTTTGTGTAAGTAAACAGGCATGTCTTTCATTAGGAAGAAACCCACAGTCCTTTGCTGTAAGTTCAAACCTTGTCATTGGTGATGGCAGATTCATCCTTTCATGGCTACCTTTTGCTCTATTTAAGAACTTTCAGTATAACAGGAATGCTGTGACATTCATAACAAACTTGAGCAGTTAACACTGTAGATGAAATACTTGGTGTTTTATTTGTAGAGTTTCTAATTTCATGTAGACATAAAGGAGCAAATGTTGTTCCTTTTGCTAAAATTGCATTTCGCTCAATATAAATACTCTAATAATTCCTTCCTTTGGAGAGAATATATTAAAAAGGACCATCCATTGCTCCTTTGACAGAAGTACTTATATCACTTGAGTTTGCACATCATAATGCAACCTTCTATGTTTAGAAGTTTACCCCAATCCGGGTTGAACTTCTTCCCACACTGGGTTGGCAGTCACTGCTCTGTCCTTAAGCATGGTGTTTCCATTATGAGAAAGATGCTCTGACGCGTCTTAACAATCTAGTAGAGTAACTCTGTGAGACCAGAAGGCTCTTCTTTGGAAAGATCTATCTGTGGAGGCCAAAGAGCACTTTGGATCCTCTGGATGAGCATTTCAGTTGGATATTCAGCACCAAGCTCGGGTTGCAACTGCCCTCCCTCCCTCATAGGACTTTTGTTCCTTGCCCTTTTGTCTTGGATTTGAAAATTAATCTTTTTTCTTCCATTTAGAAAGATATCTTCAGATTGCTGCAGTTCTGCACTATCTTTAGCAAGCCAATTGTGACTTGTTTTTGTCGTTTGTTTTAAAATATCTTTTCAGATGTCTGCTCCAGGCCCCGTCAGTAACAAGAGGATGGTTCACTTTTCCCCGGATGCCCATCACCATGAGTGAGTGCTCATGTTTCTGTAGCTTGCTTGGGTTGTTCCATTTGTTTCTCTTAGAAAACTGGATAACTATTTCTGAGTGGCAGCAATTTAATTTGTACCTACTTTAAAAACATAATAAGGCACACGGATGGTAACAGTATTAGAACAACTTAAATGGCGCCCGTGAAAGACATAGAAGGACTTGTAAATACATTCTTCATTTTGATACAGTTGAAATTAATGCCTTCTTCACTGAAATCCAGGCCCTATCTAAAAATGTTTAAATCTTCTCGACGTTGACCTTACTGAGCCTTCTATGATACCAGTGAATGCCGAATGACCATCTTCACAGTGCTTCTCTACTCCCAGCTTCTGCCTGACTAGCCTTCGCTTATCACAGTGAAGAACTGTAGTGTGTGTGTGTGTGTGTGTGCGTGTGTGCGTGTGTGCGTGTGCGTGTGTGCGTGTGTGCGAGTGTGCGAGTGTGTGTGCGCGTGTGTGCGCGCGTGTGCGTGCGTGTGTGCGTGTGTGTGCGAGTGTGTGTGCGTGTGTGTGTGTGCGTGTGTGCGTGTGTGTGCGTGTGTGCGTGCGTGTGTGTGTGTGTGCGTGTGTGTGTGTGTGTGTGTAGAGGCAACAAAAGAAATGGCCCACTAGGTAACTCTAGATAGCTGAACAGTTATGTGATCCTAGTAAATTATAGGTAGGATTTTCTTGTGGTAACCTTAGTTCTAAATAGTCTTATTGGAAAAGCCTGTGTTATGTGTGGTAGTTTGATGTCATGTGTCTCCTTCACCATCTGTAGTTGTTGAAATTGAGACCTTTGAGACATGAAAAGGCATGAGTTATTTATCAAATTAGTTTTTCCTAGAAAAGTCTTATTAAGATCTGTTAATATTGGCTTTCTTTTTAAAAATAAAAAAAATCAAGAAAGTAATTGTAAAGTAAGTAGAAAACAAACTGTTGTTCAAGCACAGCAAAATGTTTTCAGAATCTCCCTTTTCCTTGCTTTCTGTGATGACGTTTTAAAAACAAGCAGTTTAATACCCTCAGGTAACAACCAACTGTTGGGTCGAGTTTCTGCATTCGTTTTGTTTTGTTGAACTACAAAAGCGCAGGTAAGCAGATATAGAAATATTGCAGGTAGCAGTCTGCATTAGATGAAGAGTGTAAACACTCTGCGGGTATGCAGGCCATACTTCTTTATTGCTGCAGCACTCCTGACAGAGCTGCTGAATGCTTGTACTGGTTTAAACTAGGGCACACTGGCCTGGCTGTGGGACATGGCAGTGTGCCCATCCTGGCACATGGAAGAGGGAGGCAGAAGGATCAGGAGTTCAGGTTGTTTGGCTATCTAATAGGTTTGGGGCTAGCCTCGGCTTGATGAGACCCTGTCTCAAAAAACTGTAATCAGTAGGTAAGTAAATAGGAAAGATCAGGATAATGCCATCTGCGGTGTTGCTTCTAACTTCCCAGTGTCCCCCTGTCTCCTCCACACCAGATCTGCAAGGTTTGCAGTCCATTAAGATGCTCTAGGCTAGCACACAGTGTGGCTATGTTCTTGTTCCTGTGTGAAGATGCCACTACTTCACCACGTAGGATTCAAGTCTCTTCAATTTCACTCCCAGTACCTCCTGACATATTCTTTCCCATTGCCTACACCATTGCCCTCTTTATTATCCTTTATGTCAGTGTACAGTCCCAGTGGCCCCTTCATTTGCTGGCTCTCCACAGTTCCAGGGCATAGTACTGACTTGTGTGACTCAGGTTCAGATCTGGCCATCGTACTTCCTGCCAGTGTGGACACCCTAACAGTCAAGGATAAATGCCCCACACTTGCTCAGCTGTCACCTTCTTTCCATTTCTTCCCATAAAACCTTCAGATCACTTCTGCTTCTATTCTCTGAGTGTCTCCCGATTTCACCTGCACTGCCCAGTGACCCTGGGATTTGCTCCTGCGTTCTCTCTTACCCCTACTTGTCAAGACTGAAAAAACATTTATCAGTCTGTGCTAGCTACAAACTTAAACCAACATAGTTTGCGTTTGTTTTATTCTTGTTTTTCTCAGATTTATTTTTCCTGTTTTGTTTTCCCACATAAAGTGAAAGAAGAGACTTTTGAAAAGCTTAGAAATACTGACTAGGGCAAGTGCTTGTGTTTCTCCCTGTCGTCTGTGGTAGTCCTTGCTAGGCTGCTGTAGCAAAGCACCACGAAGTGGATGGCTGAGACAAAACCGTGCTCTGGACCTGGAAGCCCTGGCTCTAATGGTTAGCTCCCTCCTGGGGCTGGGAGAGAAGGCACTTCGAATTGTGTCCCTGCTCTCCTCACAGGGCACCAGCAGTCTCTACTGGTTCCTCCCCAACCCCGTCTTAAGTGGGGTTCCCCTGTGTTGCTCTTTTTCTGAACTCTTCCTTTGTAAAGCACCAAGGCAGTAAATAAGACATTTCATAGTGTCACACTGGACCCTGGCCCTGTCTCACTGACCTCATTTTAACTGGTCTCTGTAGAGAGCGTGTATCCAAATGATGTCCTCTTTTGGCTCACATATTAGGACTCCATACTGTCGTTTGCAGGGACATAATTCTGCCAGTAATATTGCCATCATTGTCATTTTCTCTTCTGTCCTTATGTTTACTGTCTCCTCGTTTGGCTGCTTCTGGCCCTCATCTCCTCTGCTCTAGAGAGGGCAGTGCCAGAAGCTCTCCTTTTCACCTTCCAGAAGGAAGCATCTTGTGCTGTGCACATTCACTCCCCTCCCCTTCCTGCCCACTGCCCAGGATCAGAATACTTGGTTGTCAAGGTCTAAAGATCAGGAAAGAGAATATGTAGTGACGTTCCAGACAGGTACAGTTGGGCACCTCTAACATCTAGCCTGAGAAGGGGATACTGGCCAGTAGCTGCTGACGGTATGTCAGCCCGGTTCATTGTCTCTGCACCATCCCCGTGCTCTGTTCTTCCAAATGCACAGTGTGTAGACCTAGTTTCCCCAGATCTTTCACACCTGTCCCTCGGACTCTCATCCAGGACCTCTGGGCAATTCGGGTAGTTAAGTAGATCTGGTCGTGAATCCTCTTGGTAAAGTGGTTTATGGCTTTATTCATAGGCAGCTGCATACATATACAGTATAGAGTTGTAGAGAAGGCAGGCCATCTCAACAGAAGATTAGGATTTCCACTTAGGAACGTCATGCTTACTGCCCAGCGTGCACAGGCGTTTTGACCAGCATTCCTCAGAGAGGACTCTGCCTTGTAGGAGCAGCTGTTAAGACTGTAGTAGCCTGTGGCATCCCAGACTGCTGACTGTTAGAGCCACACATCTCTCTGTAGGGCAGTCAGGAGTTCATCAGTTCATCATAGACTACTGGTGGCCACGTACTCGATTGCTTGGATTTTCTTCCGACACTCAGTTGATTTCTCTTATTTTCCATTCTACACTAACAATGCTGCTTCCATGCTGGCTCTATGGCTAGTCTGTCCCCTGAAGCATGCCATCTTGTGGCAGGGCATGCTGACTTCCAGGGGGCAAGTATGAGTCTCCAACAGCTTTTGGCCACAGACTCAGTCTTCTTTGTGGGAATTGTTCTACTGAGTGGTTTTACCTCCCCGCTTCACAACAACCTTAGCTGTGTTGGAGTGCAGACTCCAAACTAGAGCTCCCCACCAGGCGCCTCTTTCCAAACTGACTTTCTAGTCTTCTGTTCTTAAGCAGGACGGTTGTATCTTCTCTTTCTTTTTCATGATGTTTGATAATTAAAACAAAACACAACTTCACATCCAGAATGCCATCCAGCTAGAAGTTTTCTGTTGTCAGAGTTATTTGAATTAGTTGTCATGAGACATCTCTTCCTGATGCTTAGATAGGAATCTAGGAAATACACAAATTAATCCTTGCTATGATTTACCTTAAAATTTAAGAACCTTAGGAAAACAGGAGGTAGTCATTAACCTCGTGAATATCTTTAATGCTGTAATAAGTTGTTTTTAAGGCAGGCATGGTTGACTGTGACTGTAACCCTATACTCAGAAAGGCTAAGCAGGAGGATTATAAATTCAAGAATGACCTGGAGTGCATAGTGAGACTTGATCAGTTTTTAAGTGTTTTGTTTTGTTGTTTTTAACTTTCTCTCTAAAATCTCCAAAGATACCCTATAGAAAAATACTTCCAACAGTTGAGCTTGTGCTGTTGGGGAGATGGTCCAGTGGGAAAGGGCTTGCCACACAGGTGTGAGGACCTCCACAAACCTGTGCACACGCTGTTATAGACATGAATGCATACGTCTGCACACCACTCACACAAACAGATGGAAATAAGTGGTTCTACTTGTCAAATACCAAAGTTAAAATAGAGATGAATAAATGGAGTGAGTGACTGTGCAGACTCAGAAGCATGAAAGAGTTTGCAGTTTCAAATGGGTGTTGCTAGATAGAGGATCAGAGCTCCCAGTCCCCTGTCTCTGTGCTGGACTGTGTAGAAATAGCCAGGAAGGCACCGGAGTCTTGTGGCTGGTGAAGGGAAAGGTGGTTTGAGGGATAGGGAGATAGCAGCAGTAGGGAGCTCCATATAGAAAGCCCGGGCTCACCAGAGGCAGTGGAGGCTGATCAGTACAGGTGTAGATAGGGGTGGGCTGCAGCCTGGAGGTCAGTAC